CTAACACGCAAGTGCACGTATCGCAAACAAGTAGTAAAAGTGGACTCGTGAGAGTCGGATGTCGATCCCACAGGAATAGTCAAATTATCTAATCCTAAGTACCAAATTCTAACAACTATGATTTTTATCCAGCCTACGCAAGTTTGTCAAATTAAATCAATTAAACAATTAAACTAATTAAGAACGCAAGTAATCACGAGAAAATATCAATTAAAAACGGACCTAGGATTTTATCTTCCCCCTATGCAAGAATTGCTCACCCAAAACCCCTCAATTATGAAATATATGATTCATGATTATTAACCCGAGACACTAATTTACTCATAACCCGCTGTCGCGTGTATTATGAGTCTATTATTCATAAACGGTTCACTATATGTCTATGCAAACAAATTATGAATAAAGCATTAACTAACAAGTCTCGTAAATGGCTACCTAAGGTAATATCTATATGTCTACGACACCACAAGCAATTGACACGCTCATCCGGTGAAAACTACTCGAAGGTTCTTATACTTACCGTTTAGTTATCAAAATAGCCCTGTCGAGTCAATCCCAATAATCACAGACAAAGCACATAAATTGATCAAGTTCATGCACTAACAATCATAACAAGTATAAGAAATAATCATAAAATCATAATTGCATAATCTCAAGAAAACGGGTTCACAATCCCCACATAGGGTTCCAATAAAATCCTAGATTAAAAACTTAGCTACTCATAACGAAAAACATAATAAAAGTAATAAAAATCATAGATTCAAGAAAAGATAGGTGAAAGAAGAATTGTGATGAAGATTCGTCAGGTCTTCGTCTTCGTTCTTCCGTTCTCTCGCTCCTCTCCCTCCAAGGTTGTGTCCAAAGTCTTCTAATTCATGCTTGGTTTGTGCTTAAATAGATGTCCCAACTTGGTAGATGATTTTAGGTTTTCTTGTGTGATTAAAAGTCCAAAATTGTCTCCAGCGTGTGTTGGCACGGCCGCGCGAAAATCAGTGCAATTCTCACACGGCCGCGCGAGAATCGCCGAAACCTTCTGCCCAATTTCTGCATTTGGCACGGCCGTCCCATTTTTAGGTGTAAATTTGGGACGGCCGTCCCGTGCCAATTTCTTCATATTTTTGATTATTTCACTTTTGGCCCATATTTTCTCCAAAATTGCAGTTTTGACACCAAACTTTTCCAATTCTTCAATTTATACCTAAAATACAATAAATCAACTTTTTAAGCACCAATTATCGTTAAATCACACCAAAAGCTCAAATAAAAAGGTACGATAAAGTGTAAAAATATATACTTACCCGTTTTTCCCCGTTCCAAAGATGAGAGAAGTCTGTCTTCCCCGTTCTTCCTCTACAATCTGCATCTTCATCTCCCTGACGCCATACTCCATCCCCGCTATCATCCATCTCCGCCACAATCTTCATCTCTGCTCCGCCATCTCTCATTTTGAAGTGAAGGATCATATGATTCTAAATAGATGCAGACCCGAAAAGGAATCCAAGCCTCTCTCTCCTCCACCAAAATCTCACACAGTACACACACCAGCACCAGCCAAAGACGACCCTCCATCAGCCCCGTCCTCTTCCACTTCGTCGGCACTCTCGTCTGCCTAATAATCTGGCATTGGACGCGAAGCCTAGATCGCAATGCATATCTGTTCTTGCGAATTCAAATGTGAAACTGGATTTTAGGGATTCTCCTTCTCAATCTCATTGAATCATGGGGAAAGAGAAGATGAAGATAATTGTCGTGATAGTTTTGGTTGATTTTGGAGAAGAGGGGTTCTTAAGAATATTAAGGATTGAATTGAAAATTTTATAAACTTCAATTTGTAATTTTTGAATTTTCTAATTCAAAAGGTGTAAAAACATTAATTTATTGTAAAAAAAAGACTCAACTAAGTCATATTCGAACGGGTGAGATGCACACTCCGTTAACCTTTAACGGCTAGACTGACGGCCGCTACATTGTGCAAACCGGGGGAAGGGGGAGTAAAAGGCCTAAATTGATATAACGGGGTAAGTGCAACAAGTTCAAACCACGGAGGAGTAAAGTGCCATGATTCCGTTCATCAACACGTGAAATAAATAATTAATATATGAGAAATCTATACTATCTATAAAAGTATGAATAATAGGGGAAGTTTCTTCCCTTTTTTGTACGTACAAAAATACCCTCTCAGATAGACAATACTAGAAGGTTAGTTAGGTAATATTGGTTAATAATAAATTAATATATTATCTATGAATTTAGTAATTAGTATCCATTTACCATTCCATTAATAAATTAATAGCTATATCAGTAAAAGTAATTATTGATATGTGAAGTTTCATTTACTAATAAATAAAAGAATTGATAAGGCCATCCATTTTCACAAAAAAAAAAAAAAAAAAAAAAAAAAAAAAAAAAAAAAAAGATAAGACCATCCATTTACCTTGCTGGGGTACGGTTACTCCTATTACCAAAACCTTGTCATTGTTCTGTTCATTTTCTCTACGTTCATGATTCATGAATTATTAATTACCAAATTAATTATCATTTGGTCGGTTACATAATAATAAATTCATTTAAATACTGGCCATGTCAATTGGCAACATGGTAATGGACAAGTTCCAAATGAGAATGGCCAAATCAAGTTGATTTTCCCCGAGACTCGGCTACAGTGCTAGGATATACTACATATCTAAAGGTACCATCAATATTAATAGCCTATTTGTCCATTTTGAAAAACCACCAACTCGGATAACTATGTTCATGGAAAGAAAATCCCAAATCCAAGTCTTAGTAAATGGATTATTAACGACGATATCCTTATGTCTTGGCTTCTCGGAAACATGACCGAAGATGTTGTCAACATGGTTTTTGGTGGGGATAACCTGCTCAATTTGGAAATCTCTCCAAGAGCAACCGTTGCCCGACACTGAAGAAAATGAAGCCCGATTGAAAAATGGCTTATATGCCTTATCCAAAGGGACCCTCTCACTTGATGGAATACATTCGAAAGTTGGAATAGATTTGCGATAAACTTAAAGCCAATCGCAAACCTCTAAATGTTGACAAAGTGTTCCAATTCTCACAAGAACTCGGAGACAAATACAAGGAGTTTCGAATTGCCGTTTTGTCGAAACCACCTTATACATCCTTTAATCAGTTTATTATGTGTGTGCATAATTTGAAACAGGTATATCTTCGAGAGGATCTCCAACAATTCGATCATAACCAAGCCTTATTCGGCCAACGAGGAAGAGGACAAGGTCATCGTGGAGGAAGAGGAAACTTTCGAGGATAGGGTCCTAATTCTTTCACACAAAACCGATCTCGAAATAGCGGTTCATCTCTCACATAATGGTATCTCAGCCAGATCTTTTCTTATAATGTCTTCCATCGAAGAACCCAAACTCTCCATTTAAACTTTTCACCAATGTTATAGCTTAATCTCGATTAAATTGTCTACCACAAACTTTCTTGTTTGGAGATCTCAAATACTTTTACTGCTCCGTAGCCTAGAAATCAAACATACCAGAATTATAATTTCCCTCTTATTCCTTTTATTTATAAAGCAAACATTTTCTTCCTAAAAGACATTACATGTTATGGTGACGACACCACTGGTCCACCGCCTTATGTTTCGAAAAACGGAATACTACATGTTTATATGAAAGTGAACAAAAAGAAAATGTTAAACGATTATTTACAGGGGAATTCAAATTCTCAATTCCTACATTTAGAAAAAATCCTTTCATAATTTCTTCATTTACAATCAACTAATTTTATTGCAGCGCGGTTCTGTGCACTTGCAAATGGAATGATATGCTTGTTGCCATGAGTTGATGATGAGAATGACAATCACGAATAGCATTAATTGAGACGATGATAGATTTCTTTGTTTATTTTAACTTTTAGCTATATATTTTTCAATCTTCTACTTATGTTCTGTTTCTTGAGAGTGTGTTGCGAAAGTGTTCATGCATTTACTTCTATTGCACGAGGAGAAAAACTTGCTTAATTAACAATAATTCCTTAATATTATATTTTAATTGTATGTGGAAATATATCACACATGAATCTTAGTGTGCAATCATTTGAATATAATATATGAAGCATGAATGAAAGATACAAAAGTTTTACATGTCTTGAAAAAACAAAACGAATATTTATTTTATTCCTTTTTAGCTCATATTTTTATAAGGACAAAATTCACTTCACCCCCTATAAATTTTGCATTTTCGCACTTTCCCTCCTAAAAATTCAAAAAAGAGATAACCCCCCTCGAAATATTGTTTTGATTGCAGTTTGCCCCAAAAAATAATTTTTGGTAGACATTGTGCAACAAAAATAACATTTTAAAGGGGCAATGTGTAGAAACATAATGTTTGAAGGGGGCAACATGCAACAAAAATTAAAATTTAAAGGGCCAAAGTGCAACAAAAACACTCAATTCCGGTGAATAATCCATCCGAATTTTACTTTCTGGGTAATGTGCAACAAGAAATTTATAGGGGGTGACGTTCAATTTTCCCTTTTATAATAAATACAGATAACAGTTTTTCGAAAAAAAACAAATATATCATAATTAATACCTCTTGTCTTTTCACATATATTCTTTTGGTAAAAATATCAAGGGTTGATTAATTTATTTACATCTCTCCTCTAATATTACAAACCATTGACTAAAAAATACCTCATAATTAGTTACATCTATCAATGTATTTTCTCTTATTTTTGCAACGCCATGTATATCGCTCTTTATTGTATAACACAATTTATTTCTTCTCCACCACAACAAATTAACTCAAGTACTTTCAGTTTATGAATTATATCATTTGACATTTTAAATGTTAAATTGAATTCTATTATTTTGCTTCTCTTTAAATAAGCTTCTTTAAGCTATTTCTTGAAAAGCACCCCTAGGCCTGCATTTTCTATTTAAGTTTATTTTCCAGCATATATGCAAATACCGTCAAACAACTTATAATCACTAAGTTCTGCTTTTAAATAAGTTTTTGCAAACACCACCTAAATGTCATAATTTAAGTGTAAAAGTGGCTTTAAACAGCTAATTGACCGATAACTTACCTTGTCACATGGGCCCAAATGTCCAAAAAAACAAAATTGGCCTTGACTAAGGAGCCATGTTTTGAAAGGAAAAATGAAGTGTAAATTACGAAAACCTTCTTGAAGTAAGGTCTAATTACGAAAATCCCACTATATCTGTATAATTATGAAAATCCCCCTAAGGTACATTGTCATCTTACACAGGCCTCTTATGGTGTTACTTTTGACGAAATAAATAATATATTTACAATTATCCTAATATCCCTCGAAAAAAGAAGTAAAAGCGATGAATTTTCTAATCGCCTTGTGTCTTTTATTTAGAGATAAAGATTAAAAAAAAAAAATGAAAGCGAGAGATAAAAAAACTCAACAGTGAAAGTTAATGCAAGAGAGAGACGGATAGGCATATCTTATATCAACTCCATTAAGCTCTCAACGTGTCACTCATCAAATGGCATCAATTTTTATGCTTTAAATGAGGGATTCGTTTAGAATTTAAATTCTGAAGTAAACTATTAATTAAAATGTCTACATATTGTTGACGTTGATTAGATAAGATTTGAAATTAATTTACATGTACAAATTTAAGATACAAAGTATATGCTATTTTATTGCAATTTATTGACGTACAATAAGTGAAATTAAACCTAAAAATTAATCACAATCTAAATACGCAATTGATGTCTTACTAATAAAAGTATTATTCTATATTTGAAATGACAAATGATACACCAAAGTTAACAAACATAGGGATAGTATTCAAATAATAACAAAAGTTACCCCTTTTTTTTAACCCTTCTAAGAAAATTTAACCAACCAAATAAGCCGTGTTGTGGTACAAGAATGGTGTGAGAATTTCAAGCACAATATAGTTGATGTGGAAATTATATTTGGTAAACAAAAGCACACGCATGTTTTTCCACCACGCTAGCTGAAAATGAAAGTTGTGCATTCAAACTTAAGAGTAAGCGATTTCTTTATTAAACTTTACATTGTTATGACAATCGAGCACAAAGCAGTGTCTAAAACTGATCTAAATGTTGTTTTTTGTTTACATGAGTAATATTTTCTCATGACAATCGGTTGTAATTTTGCCTAAAGAGACCTCTGAAATAATAGTAAATATTGGGAAGAAAGTGTTACTAAAAAATACTATATATATAAAGAAGTCTTAAATACATGCACTGAAAATAATTAACATCAAACGAAACAAGCCAAAAGGAAGTCGAGTTTATAATTACAAACTTTGAGGATAAAAGAAATACTTGAACAATATTTATACTAGAAAATTCAGAACAATTTTCATTCACATTCAGACCTACTTCACATCTCTCTAATAAAATCAATCCAACACGAGCGAAGCACGTGCACCTTCCTAGTTATATAAATGATCATAACGAAAGTCATGCATACATGTCCGCGAATACAATATTGAATTGAAAAGGATGGCGTAACAATTTTTTTTTTAATTAAAATTTAATTAGATATTATAAGCTTTATAATATTGGCCATGTTCCTGGCGTGGAGTTAATTACTCCAACAAAATGCACATACATGCATGTATAAATTTCATTCAACGAAACCAGTTAAACAATATAATAAGTATCCAAAAAAAAAAAAAAAATAGATAATCATTTGTATCCAGTAGTAGCAACCTTAATTTCTTCAGTGTCAATTCTGTTGATCTCCATTATATGGTACATCAAATCCTCCACACTAATAAAAAAAACTCCTCCCTTGCCCCCGGGCCCACGCGGCCTACTACCAATCCTCGGGTATTTGCCGTTTCTCGCCAAAGATTTCTTCACCGAGCTAACCGAATTGAGACACAAATACGGCCCAATATTCAAGCTCCGTCTCGGCAGCAAACTATGCGTCGTGATCAGCTCACCGTCCCTCGCGAAAGAGGTCCTCCGAAATCAGGACTCCGTTTTCGGACATCGAGACAACAATGTCGCGGCGTTTGTCGCGTCTTCCGGTGGAAACGACATTGTGTTCTCGGAGACGAATCCCCAATGGACTAAAATGCGGAAAATATTCGTTCAAGAAATTATGAGCACCGCAAGTCTAGAGGCGTCCAACAATCTCCATAGGGATGTCGTCAGAAAGGCCGTCAGGCATATCGGAGCCGGTTCAGGAAAGCCCGTGAAAATCGGTCAGTTGACTTTTCGAATCGAGCTTGATGTCATACTGAACATGCTGTGGAGCGGTGAGACGCTCGGGGCGGAACAAGGGGATACGATCGCGGAGGAGTTCTTTTCCGTGGTCACGAAGCTTATTGATCTATTGGGAAGACCGAATATTTCCGATTACTTTCCGGTTCTTGCCCGGTTCGATATTCAAGGAGTAAAGAAACGGATGGAGAGTTATCGGAAATCCTCCCACAGGATCTTCGACGTTGTTATTGCCGAACACAAAAAGAAGACGTCTTCCGGAGAAATCAAGAAAGATTTTCTCCAGATTCTGTTGGCGCTTCAAAAGAACGAAGATTCGCGCATATCAATCAATGATACACAAATCAAGGCCATAATGATGGTTATTTTATTTATAAGTCTGCAAGGACTTATTGCATTTAGTAACTCATGTGTTCACTTTAATTGCCAAAAAAACTCCTTATGTTATAAATCTTAGCAATATCATTCATACGATTCAATTTTTTTAGCAAACTACCACTAAAAAACGCACCATTTAGAGGGTTATGTGTTAAAAAAATACATCATAGTTTGCTAATACTTATAAGTTATAACACGAGGAGTTTTGCAGCAATTCGATATAACACAGGAGTACTGAAGAAAATAAAATGATTTTATTGACTAACAAGATTTGTTTATGGAATATTCTGTTTATCTATGATGCATGGACACGGATACGTGGACACGGCGATACGCGTATACGGACACGGTGATACGGCATTTTAAAAAAACTAGGATACGGACACGCGGGGATACGCATAAATATAAAAAATATAGGGGTATATTTATAAATAATAAAAATATAGGGGTACATTTATAAATTGTAAAAAATATGTATAAGTTGTTATCGCATAAGAGAACCGGCCGCCCTTGTTGCTCGTGTTCTTGGTCGCCGTCGAAAGTTAGCTTTTGGAGTTTTTGGTGGACTCACAAAGAAAACAGAGGAAATGTGTATTACAGAGAAAAGAAAATGCGATTTTTTTCTAATTAGGGCTCTCTCTTAAAACATAAGAAAAGTGTCGCGACTTTTTCAAAATTGTGGACACTGCCCGACATGGGTGTCCTACTTTTAGCGAAATTACAACACGGCCCGACACGAGTGTCCGAGAAGTATCCGGGTGTATCCCAGTGTCCAGGTATCGGATACGGGGACTCTTCACCTTCTAGAAGTGTCCGTGCAGCATAGCTGTTTATAGGATATGGTAGCTGGTGGGACCGACACTACTGCGATATCCGTTGAGTGGGCAACGGCTGAGCTTATGAATAGTCCCGCAGTAATGAAGAAGGCGCAAAAAGAATTATCCGATGTCGTGGGACTGAACAACATGGTCGACGAATTACACATCCCAAAATTGAAATATTTGGAAGCAGTTGTGAAAGAAACATTGCGCTTACATCCAACAATATCTCTCTTGATTCCGAGGTCTCCATCCAAATCATCCACCGTGGGAGGGTACACCATACCGAGGAAAACCATGGTCTATTTAAATGTTCGATCGATCCAAAGAGATCCTTCGATTTGGGATAGTCCACTAGAATTCAAGCCGGAGAGATTTCTTCTTGATGATGAAAATAGTAAATGTGATTTTAGAGGTAATCGTTTTCATTATCTCCCGTTTGGATCGGGGAGAAGGATATGTGCCGGCATTCCGCTTGCCGAGAGACTGCTAATGTATTTGCTTGCTACACTTTTGCATTCTTTCGATTGGGAGATACCAAACGGCGAAACACTTGATATGTCCGAGGCGTTGGGGACCGCCCTGAGAAAAGCTACACCGTTGGTTGGTATTCCCAATCCGAGGTTCACTTGTTAGAGACAAATATTTCATAGTTTCAGTGTTTTAGTATTCAACTTCCATTGAGTGTTTAAATTCACACTCGATTTCAATGTGTTGTACGGTTGTTTTGCTTCATTTCAATAAACTTCAGTGTTTGGTGTTGTCCTTTTTATTATATCCGAAAATATTTTTAACTGATTTTTTTTCTTTTTTTTCTTTTTTTTCTTTTTAACGTAGGAACCTGTAACTAACTATAGGTGCGCTGGGTAATATATACTCTCGTATAGAGTTAAATGCAAAAAAAAAACCCTGTATTAATCCTCAACACCAAAAACCCCCCATGGGATAAAAAAAGTGATAAACATTCCCCTGTAATCAATAGTCAAAGTCATACACCCCCAACCTTTGTGCGTGTCATTCACTCGCTGTGTGTGCGGCTACTTGTGCGATTTTTGTACATTTTGTGCGTGAAAGGACAAAATTACCCCTCTAAATCAACACTCATGAAACAATTAAACCACGGATGAATTTTTATAAATATTTAAATTTAAACAAATAAAATAAAAAATATAAATTACATTTAAGTAGATTCAAAAAGAAAAAAAAATGAAAACAATGCACTCGGTGAACCCCAGTCATAAAGAAAACTAGTGAGGAAAACAATGCGTTCACTACCTGAAAGATTCGCTTACCGAGTTGCTGCCATAGAAGAAGTCAGAGACGTTAATACTCTCAAATTAGATGAGCTCATGGGGAAACTGCTAGCACAAGAACTCAATCATGGTGAGAATCATCGTGCAAACCCTAGATAAAAGAAGATATCCTTTCAAGCAGAAACTTCACATGTAACTCTACAAGATCGGTCTACTCAAGAAGATCATCAGACTGTTGAATAGCCCTTGGCACTCCTGTTGAAAAACTTCGGGAAGTTTCTAAAGAAAATTGGTAAAAAGGGGAATTCTCCCAACACAGGGAAACCCTTGAACTTTCAAAACCCTAGGAGAAACCCGAATCAAGACAACTCAGAGGATTCAAAACCGAGAAGAATACAATGTCGAGAATGCGACGGTTTCGGTCACATTCAGTCAGAATGCGCAAATACCCTGAAGAAAAAGAAAACAATGTCGCTTGCCACTGTTTGGAGCGATGAAGAAGATTCTGATGATGATCAAGGAAATAACGATCAGGTCACCAACTTTGTAGCCTTCAGTACGTAGCAAAGTTCCTCTGAACAGTTCAGACTCAACTGTTGCAACAGTCGGTGAAACAGAATCCAGGTATGAAATTGTTTGTTCTGATAATGACAAGAAATTAAACACAACCTCTTCTTTTGCAGATCATCCCGATAGCAGCAGTGATAAGGAAGAATTAACCTTAAAAGAAGTAAAATAGGTATACGAAAGAATGTATCAAAAATGGCTTGACGTTGTTAAGGTAAATGACTTCTTAGAAAAAGATAAGCTTGTGCTTATAGAGGAAAACAAGACACTCAAGGTAAGAATTTCTACTCTTGAGGAGAAAGTCATATCAAGTGATCATGCGAAAAATAGTTTGCAGGCTAAACTTAGGGCCCGTTTGATTGCACTTAATGGACCTCTTAATGAGTCCTATGCTGATTCGGTAAGCAAATTTCACGTTAAGTGCGTTTGGTAATTACTTCTGAATGGGACAGAAAATATCTTACTGATTCAGTCAAAGATATGACGCTTATTCGCTCAGCACAATATTTGAGTGGATCTTGGACTCTTTTATCCTTTAATAAAACTTTAAGTTCTTGACCTACCTCATAACACGGCTGTTCTGTTCTCCATCTCCATCAAAAATCTGCTCTGAGCGACGGCTTTGATAGCCCATAAAAAACAATACTCAGAAATTGTACGATCAGACAAGTAAGTTATATCTTTGTTCTTCATCAATCTTCCTCTCAACAAGTCATTATACTGTGTGTTTGTGTTATGATATATAATTACGTTATTTAAAACTAGAGTACAGAGGACCTTGTGCATATATATATAGTTATAAAAAATCTGTGATTTTTTCAATGAAGTGGAATTTAATAATTCTCGACAGTTAACTACGAAGTGTTTTATGATTATATAGAATACAATAATATTTATATCAAACCAACAAGGAATGTATAAGATAATTTAATGGTGGTTGTCTTTTCTATCTAGTTTATTTGGATGTAATGTACTGTAAAAATAATGGAGCCGACACAAGAGAAAAATCATTACCTATTATATTTGAGATTTCTAGATATTATCTTAATAAATCTTATGGTTTGACTTGCAAATAGAATAGTTAATCTAAAATATTAATTTTCAAAAATAGCAAAAGAAAATACAGAGGTGCTAATATGACTAGGGAATCTAACTCTGTGTTACAACGTTAATGTCAACCTTTTGTTGGCAAGAATTTTTGAGAATTTTTTTAGTCATGTCGATCATGTAGAGAACAGGTTGAGTAGTCTTGAATTTTGCATAGTGGGGTTTTTTTTTGGTGCAAAATTTTTTGGTAGAGAAATTTCTCATTTGAACATAGTTGAATAATCTGCCAAATATTTGCTATATAATATATGATGTGTTTGTGGGTTTAATTTTTTCCCTTAGCTCTTCATATTCTTTGTTTTATTATGTGTCTGTTTGTATGACGTAATGGAATGTGATGTTGTTTTGATTTATTTTTTCTTTTGCACATGAACATCCATGAGTCTAGAAATGGAGGAATCAGATGAAAATAATAGAGTCAGATGGAATAATAACGAAGTAGATAAATGTTTTCTCGAATCGTGTATACAAGAAGTTGCTTTAAATGGTAGAGAAGGGGGAAGTCTTAAGGCGGAATCTTGGAGCAAGATTATGAATACTCTCAAGAATAATTATAATTTTGTGGTTTCTCAAAGACAAATGAAGAATAGATACGATTACTTAAAACAAAAGTATCAAGCTTGGTTGCCTTTAACTATGAAAACAGGCAACATTTACAATCATGCGACCAACACCATCAACATGACAAAGGATGAATGGACGGAGTATATAAAGGTCTAATGCTTAAGTTTTTCATTGTGTTATTTCAGTACTTTTCATTAACTATTCCACTATATTAAGAATTATTTGTTACCTAAATACAGGCGCATCCTAAAGCAAAGAGTTTAAGACTTGCACCCTTACCATATCCTAACCTTTGTAGAGCACTATTTGATGGAACCACTACTACAGGGGTTCATTCTTGGGGACCTAGTTCCCAAGATCCAAATCCTGGCACTAGTTCATTTTCTTCGACTGTTCGAAATGCGGTACAAAATGACATAGAAGATATTTTGTTTGGTGATGAAGACGAATATGTTGCCCCTACTACAGAGACTCAGTCTAATGTTTCCAACCGTCAGTCTCGAGAAGAAAAGCCTAAAAAGAAAAAGAAAAAATTCAACCTTCTTCTAGTGATAATAATTTAGTAGAAGAGATGTCGACTGCTGTGAAGTTTATGATAAAAAATAATAGCGGACCTTCAGTTACAGATTGCATTGCTAAATTGGATGAACTTGGATGGGATAAAGAAGACAGCGTTGTAATCTTTGGTAGTTGTGCAGGACATAGAGAAGCTTGGGTGGCGCTCCCTAAGGATAATGTGGGAGTTCTGAAAGCGTGGATTAAAAGAATTGGACGAAATATGGGATTTGAATTTTAACTCGCTTGCAATGGATTATTTATCAAATTTTAAGAATTTAGTAATTTTTTTTTATTTATGATTGTGGATTTATTTGAAGTTTCGTAAGTCATTATAAGCTTTTTATGCTGTTAGTTTCATTTTTTAGTAACGATAGACTTCTTTAGTTGCTACGTTTTTTATAATGATAGAGTTGTTTTACATTTACCTTGTCAATTGCTTTCGATTTATGATTCAATATTTTGCTTATAAAATGTACATAGTACTGTTCATTTATTGTTGACAGGTCAAATATGGAAATTTACGAGATTATGATATTGATGATGATCTATTGGTACACACAAATTCGACCGAAATATTTGATGCGTGTACCATGAAACAGAGATAACAATTCAGCATTGTCGGGACATGCTTACACGTTAGAGCTATTGTCTGGATCAGACACAAAGTGTATTGAATTAATGCGCATGTCACGTGTGGCATATATTCGTTTGAGCATGCATTTTAGACAACGAAGGTGGCTATATGATAGTAAACATGTATCAGTAGAAGAAAAAATGGCAATGTTCTTGCAAATTATTGGGCATAATAAGCGTCTTCGAGTAGTGAAGCGTAGATTTCAACACTCTTCACAAACAGTTCATGTGTATTTTCACGAAGTGTTGAGTGCAATGATGAATATGGCAAGGGAGATAATAGTACCTACAACATTTGATCCGAATCCAAATATTTCGGCAAATTTTAGGAGGTTACACCGAATTTTTAAGGTAGATATTGCATCATGTCATTTTTTTCGGTAATTATTTAATTCTCTTCTTGTTTTTGTAACTTTGTTTTTAATTTAAATACAGGGAGCAGTTGGTGCACTTGATGGAACATGCACTTGATGGAACACTAGTACATGCCATTGTTCCAATTTCAAAACAAACTATGTATAGGGGTAGAGGAAAGGGAGAATGCTTTCAAAATGTTTTAGGAATATGCGACTTTAATATGATTTTTACGTTCGTTTGGGCAGGCTGGGAAGGGGTAACACATGATTCAAGAGTCTTAACGGATACAGTTGCTGATCCGAGAAACGGTTTTCCATGGCCTCCCGCTGGTATTACTTTAAATTCAAATTAAATTCCAATTATTTATACGTTGAATCTGGTGTTGTATTATTTTTATAATGATTACAGGTAAATACTATCTTTGTGATGCTGCATACACGCATACTAGAGGATTTATGGCTCCGTATCGTAATGTGCGATATTTGTTAGGAGACTATCGTCGTAGGCGTGCTTTGACTAAAGAAGAAAAATTTAACCATGCTCATGCTCAATTAAGGAATGTCATTGAACGATCTTATGGAGTTCTGAAAAATAGAT